TACGGGCGGTGAGGAGGCAAACCCCGGAATGAACTTCCTTCATCTTCCGATGTCTCGAACACTTCTCTCCACCTGTTGCGGTTCCTGGTCTCAAGTACTCCTCCTCCTCAGAGTCCATCTCCCCTTCCCCTTCCGAGTCCGGGAATCCTTCCAACTCCTCCTCCTCATCAGTGGTCCCAAAGTATTCCCTCCGGAACCTCTCCACAGGCTGAGGTTTCCTTGGGAACCTTTGATGGAACGTTTCTATCAATACCTCGTCATTGATATCTTCGGCCATTACCCAAGTGTTTTCTGACTCCGGTTCTCCTTCCCACGCTACCAAATACTCCACCTGATCCCCTTCCACCTGGCGTCGAGGAGGTCTGCCACATGGCTGCTGCCTAGTCTTTCTTCTATGACCGGTCCCCGAGTGGCCATCCCTTCTCGTCCCCCTTGGTACGGTGACAGTAACGACCTGTGAAATACTGGGTGCAGTTTCATGTGGTTGGGTAACCGGAGCCTGAAAGCCACTGGGTTGACCTGTTGAATGACCTCAAAGGGACCCAACCTCCTGGGTCTTAATTTCTTACAACCTCCTTTGAACGGCAACCCTTGGGTTGACAGCCACACCCTATCTCCCACCCTTATGGTTTCACCTTCCCTTCGGTTCTTGTCTGCCTGCCTCTTGTATTCTTCCTTCGCCCTTTCTAAGTTGAGTTGGAGCTGACGATGGATTGCTTCCATTTCTTCCACAAAATGCTCGGCTGCCGGGACGCTCCATCTCTCCCCATCTCGCGCTGGGAAAGCCCTGGGATGACACCCATAATTAGCCAAGAAGGGGCTCATCCCTGTGGACACATTCTCGGCATTGTTGTAGGCAAATTCCGCCAGCGCCAACTTTTCTACCCAGTCATTCTCTCTGTCATTGACATAACACCTCAGGTATTGCTGGAGGACACCGTTTGCTCTTTCCGCCTGCCCGTTGGTTTCAGGGTGCCGGGCAGTCGAAAAATTGACCTCCACCTGCAGTAAGCTCATGAGCTTCCTCCAGAACCTGGAAGTAAATTGTTTTCCTCGGTCTGAGACCACCCTCAATGGCACCCCGTGCAACCTAAAAATGTGTTCTACAAATAACTTCGCTGTCTCTTCCGCCGTGACTGCATGCGAGCAAGCTACAAAGTGGCACATCTTTGTTAGTAGGTCTACCACCACCATGATGGCTGTTTTCCCTTTGGACTTCGGCAGATCAGTCATAAAATCTATCGACACTGCCTCCCAAGGTCGTTCTGGGGTTGGTAAGGGTTCTAACAGCCCGCCGGCGCCCGCCTTTCCCCTTTGGCTCGCTGGCATTGCTCGCACCCTCTTACATACTCACGTACATCTTCCCTCACCTTAGGCCACCAAAATTCCCTGGTGACCAACCACATGGTTTTGTGTTGTCCAAAATGCCCCGCCGTAGGGCTGTCGTGCAACTGCTTGAGTACCCTCCCCTTAAGTCTCCTTCAGGGATATACAGTGCCCCTTTGTAATACAAAGCTCCATTTCTTTCCTCGAAACCCCTGGTTCCTCTCCCTCACCCCTAAGACCTCTGAGCTTATTCTGGGCGTATTCATCATTCTCTGTTTCCTCTACCAGTTCTCTTTGTCCCACCAATGCCGCCCCACACACCCAGCGGTCCTCTGGAATGACATGTCTCTCTTCGGGTGCTCCCTCCCCTCCAAATATTCAGGTTTGCGTGAGAGAGCGTCCGCCCTAATGTTCTCTGGGCCTGGCACGTAACCAATCTCAAAGTTAAATTTGGAGAACTCCTGGGCCCATCTCACTTGCCGTTGGCTGAGCACTCGTGCCGTCCTCCAATACTCTAGGTTCTTGTGGTCAGTGCACACTTGCACCTTATGTTGTGCGCCACTAGCAGGTGCCTCCATCTCCGGAACGCCTCATGAATGGCTAGTAGTTCCTCGGTCATACACCGTGTAGCTACTCACGCATTTGTTCATCTTTCGCGAAACAAAAGCACACGCTCTCCACTATGACTCCTCCTTCCCTGGCTGCAGAAGCACCGCCCCAATCGCTCTGTCTGATGCGTCAGTTTCCACTCTCATCGGTTTTGTAAATCCACATGCAGGAGTTGTTGTTCCGAGGCGAAGGCCCTTTTAGTTCCTCAAATGCTCGCTCCGCCTCCTCAGTCCAAACGAACTTCTTCTTACTGCTGAGACAGTCCGTAATGGGCGCCGTCAGGTGGGCAAAGTTTCGGATGAACTTACGATAGAAGTTCCCAAATCCTAGGAACCTCTGCACATCCTTCCTTGTTTTGGGTGTTTTCCATTCCAGCACCGCCTGGACCTTGCCGGGATCCATGGCCAATCCCTTGTCTGACAGGCGATACCCCAGGAATTCCACCTCCTTGGTATGAAACTGACACTTCTCCAGTTTCACCCACAGCTGGTTGGCTTGCAGCCTGCTCAACACTTCTCTGACGTCTTTCACATGCTGCTCCTCATTCTCAGAATACACCAACACGTCGTCTAAGAAGGCCACACAATTCTTGTAAAGCAAAGGCCCCAGGACGTGGTTCATAAACGATTGAAAGGCTGCGGAGCCTGCTTGTAGGCCGAAGGGCATAACCAAATATTCAAATGCCCCTAAAGGGGTGAACATGGTGGTTTTCCATTCATCCCCCTTCCTTATTCGTATCAGGTTGTACGCCCCCCTTAGGTCCAGCTTTGTGAAAATCTTTCCCTCCGCACCCTTGTCAAAATGTCGTCAATCCTGGGCATAGGGAAGGCCACTGGTTCTGACACTGCATTTAAGGCCCTGAAGTCACACACCAGCCTCGGCTTGTTCGTGTTTTTCTTATCCACAAAAACACTGGGCTGCCCCCACCGCCCTGGACTCTCTGATGAACCCTCTCTTCAGGTTCTTGTCAATGAACTCTCTTAGCTCCTGCATCTCTCTGTCTGACATGGCGTACAGCTTGCCTACAGGGAGCTGTGCCCCGGGAGTAAATTGATTTGACAGTCAAAGGGTCTATGCGGGGGTAGTTGGTCAGCTTCCTTTCGCTGAAGACGTCGCGGAGATCTGCGTATTGTCGTGGTACCTTCACGTTCTCCGTTACTTCAGTCCCTGCTAGGGTGGCTTGGGCCCCTGCCAAACCCTTTCCCTCTTTGCAGTGTTCTAAGCAATGTGCTGAACCAAAAGAAACCACTCTCTGATGCCAGCCCACCAGCGGATCATGTAACGCTAGCCAGCTCATCCCCAATATAATGGGAGCTCCTCCCAAGGTGGCCACATTAAACGCTATCCGTTCGGTGTGCCTTGCCACCTTCATTATCATTGGGACGGTCTGCAAGCTGACTTCTCCTCCCAACAGCTCCCTGCCATCGATCGTGGTCACCTGCAGGGGGTTGCTTAAAGGGATCGTCTGTATCTGGTGTTCAGCTGCAAACTCTTTGCTCATGAAATTGCAGGAGCTGCCTGAATCCAACAGCGCCTTTATCTTTAGAGGGTGTCCGTTTGGCAGCTCTAGCGCCACTTCTATCACTAGGGCGGGTTTAGGAGGTTCTGGCGTGGGCACTCTCACTGCTCTTTGGCCTGGCTGCTGTGCCCCGACGGTGGCAGCCAGGCGTTGGCTGTTACTTGCTCCGGTATTTCTTCCTCTCTTCCCTCCACAGCTCCTACCATCCCTTGCCATTCCTTCCTCTGGGGGCAGACTCTGGCAAAGTGACCTGGCTGTTGGCAGAGATAGCATTTCCGGGCGCGTTTTCCCTCCTTCTTTCCCCCCCTCACTGGGCTTTGAAACTGCGCGCGCGCGCGCTGTTCCGATTTCCATCGGCTCTGCCGGCGGGAAAGTTGGCTCTGGAATGTCTGGAATGCGGAACCCCTTCCCGCCTCTCCAATGCTCTCGCCTCCTGGCGCGCTCCTATGGTCAGCGCTGATTTGGTCAGCTGGTCCATAGACTCCGCCCTGGGCGCCCGGGAAAGTTCGTCTTTCACAGCCGAAGAAAGCCCTTCTTCAAAGAGCATTTGAATGGGTTCCGCCGATAAGTCCCACCCCAATCTGTGAACCAGCATGGTGAACTCAGTCCAGTACTCACGGACAGATCGGCTCCCTGTTTGCAAGCCATTAACTGTCTGCGCACCACTCCCTGTTCAATATCGCTGGAAAACATCAGATCCATGGCGCGAAAGAACTTCATCGTGTCCTTTAGGACGTCACTATTCGCTGCCATCAGGGGTCTAACCCAGTCTCTCGCCCCCTTTTCAAGATGCCCAATCACGAAAGCCACTCGTGATTCCTCGTCAGGGAATTCATCAAACTGCAGATTGAGGGCATATTGCATCTCTGTCCGAAAGCCATGATAGTCTTTGGGCTCCCCCCCAAACTTCTGCACCAATCCTGGTACCTTTCTGGCGAGCTGGGTGGCTTTCCCCTTTTGTCTGCATCCTGAGCCCTCCTCTCCTCAAGCCTCGCCGTCTGCAGCGCTAGCTGGACCTCCAACACCCGGTACCTTTCTTCCAGGCTTGGACCCGCTCCAGCTCCTGCTTCTCCGGTTCCGGCTGGGTTGCTCATGATGCCTTCTCCTGCACAAGCTGCTTTCAAAGACTGTCGGAATGCTGTGATGGGATGATGAGCTGCTTGTGCGTAAAATAGTATCCCCTCAGAGTTTGTTCAAGTCCACAAACCTCTGTCTGTGACGGAGCCCCTCAGACATGGCTCCTCTAGTCACTAGCAGATTCCGACAGTGGTTGCTTCGGAATCGCTTCCAACATAAAAGCTCCTTAACGGAAACACGTCTTCTGGACTCTCTGCGTGACAGTTTCCGGCGAGGAGTGGGTGTTCCTACAGGAGGTCCTGAAACCTCCCCACTGTTTTCGCTGGAAGTGTCTCTGAGCCATCCCTCCAGCTCACTTTCCCTCAGCTCAGCTCCTCTCCCCCTACTGGTTCCCTCTTCAGCTGCTGAGTCTCTCCCAACCTGTGTGAGCCCTTTCACCTCCCTTCCTTCCGATGGCAGTTCCCTGACACTAGGAAAGCATTTTAACACTAATTAAAAGATTTTCTGAGGAGAGTCAATGGGGTGAAAAAAAGTTGTCCACTGCAAAGATTATAGTGAGTGTGCACTGAGCTGTGATAAGTTTTCCTACCTGACATGTCACAGCCTAGGTCAAAACGCCACTTTTTTCAAAGACTAGAAGAGTGGTGCTAAATGCAGAAACAGCTGTGGAGATTGTGCTAGTCTTCTGGGAAAAGTTGAACTTTCAGTGTTATGAGAAAAGACAGACGAATTACAAGGAAAATACAGGATGACAATGACTGGATGGCAGCATTGTACAGATTCTGAAGCATGGCATTTTCACACTACTAAACACCTAGTGTAGAAGCACTGCAAACAATACAAGCCGTCCACTTTTGATTGCAAGGCAAAGCATAGCTACATAAGAAATCTCCGAAGAGCCCTACTGATCCAGAGCCAAGACCAACCCAGTCTAGCACTCTGTTCCTCACAGTGGTCAACCATATACATTGGCAAGCCCACAGAAAAAGACAGGAAGGCCCTCTTCTATGTTGGTTCCTCAACTCCTGGACACAGCATGTTATCATGATGACTAGTAACCCTTGATAGCCTTATGCTCCTTATCTACACATCCTCTACACTGGAATACCAATGCAAGGGGCAGTTTGGTCCAGTATCTCTGAACAGTTCAAGATTCCAGGGTTTCCTGGTTCTTACACAGGGTTCGTGTTTCCTTTGGGGAATGAAGTACAGCAGAGATTTTGGTGTCTCTTTGGGATATATGGTTTATTTACACAGAGATATACAACCTGAGCCCATGATGGAGGGACTCACAGCTCACCAAAGGGTCTTGGTCCTACCCTAGCCACAGCCTTGGATTCCAGCAGACCTCAAACATCACATTCTGCCTCTCTGGCTTTCCAGCTTGCTGCTTTTTTTCTAGCTTCTAGCTCACATAACAGCTCAACTCTCAACATTAACCCTGTGACTTTATCTGTTGAGGGAGTTGTCATCTAGCACAAGCCCTTTTAGTAGCCCATCACCCATCTGGCTTAATCAGCTTTAAACACTTGCTGGATCTAGGGATTAGCAGTGTCTGACACACATCTTAGTACGCCAAGCCTTGATTAAATTCTAACACTTACTAGATCCAGAGATTAGAGAGGCCCAGCACCCACAACTCATAATGCACTCCTCATAACACACATTTCGACTACTTCCAGAAGCATGTAAATAGGCTGAGAAAAAAAGACACAGTTGTAGCCATTCTCAACAGAGATCTCCATATATATCCTCCCTCCATATGTAGGTGTGGACTTAAATGAATGGAACTATAACATGAGAGAACAGTTCCCAGTGATTTCATCTTCCATCGACTAGCCATATGGATGACAAAGGCTGCATTTCTTTACATACTTACCTTGGAGTAAGCTCAGCTGAGTATGGTGGGTAAGGTTTGAGCTGACGTTATGATTACAAATGTTCTCTTCACATTTTTATTTAATGAAAATTCAAGAGATAAGAGGGAAGGGGAGGGTGGTGAAAGAGAGAAACAAAGTTATGATGTAATGCAGCACTGGGAATGTCAACCTGGATGCTTAGACCTAAGCTCTCAAGCTTGCACTCTCTGGGGCAAGGGAAAGCTTTAGAGCAATGAAGCGTGAAGTCCACAGTGATATTTACAATGCATTTGAGGATAGCACTGAAGCCCACTGGACTTAGCAGCAGCCCAAGGGGAAAGCGTAGGGGTGCTGGATGCCACAGAGTTTCATTCAGCCGAGGATAATCTTCTGAAAAGCATACTAATAAAGAACTGTTAATGAACAGGAAGCTTCATAAACCAAAGATATGCTCAGATGCTCGTAATCTCAAAGGAGGAGCAGCAATCTTGAGACTCCAGGTGAAAGAAAGAGAGAAAATACGAGGTTTCTTCCTTTCTTTGGTCTGGTTGGGACTAAGTGTCATTGGACTCCTTCACCAGAATCATTTAGCAACGGACAGCCTACCCTGCAGTTGACCCCTTGGGTTGACCTTTCCCTTTCATAAGGAGAAACTGGAACCCTTGCATCAAATATCATTTTATAGAGTACCTCACAGGCAATCAGAGGAAATTTTCTTAATGTTGTTCACAAATACAACAATGCAGACAATTTGCATTCTGGAACTAATTTACCTAAGTTTGAGATGGCATAGTTTTAATCAGCGGCATAGACACAATGGTCACATTCTTACATCACACTAAACCATGGTTTTGTGTTATGGGGTCATGCAGGAATGAGCCACAGCAGGCTTTGGGCTTGTGTGCTTCTCTCATACACTTACTCTGCTCTTCCTGCACAGCTGGGAGATATACAGAAGACACTGTTTCTGCTTTTGGTAAAGCATCCAGACTGACAAACTGTGGTTAGCATTACCTCTGGTTAACTTAAAACAAGTCAATTTCAAATCATGGTATTGAAAGCTGGCTTTTTAAAATTAAATTAATCTGTATTTCTGGTCCAAATGACATGGCACATGGTGGTTAATCAAAAGCAAAGATTCTGAATTCTTCTGGGGTCTGAACATGCTTGTTATGCTAGCTGTATTATGAGTAAGGGGCCTTCAGATGTAATGGGAAAACATGGTATGTCCCCATGAGAACAAACTGAGGTTTAGACATCCAGACATCCTTTTCATTGCACATTATTGGTTATTGGTGCTCTTGGTACTATTGGGACAGTTACACACAATACTATTTCAATATTGTTTGTGCCTCCAAAGGCCACGCTGTTTTGCTTCCAATCAGTGCATAACTTCTTGCTGAAATCATTTTATACCATAGGTAATCTGGTTTATTCTTGTCCTGCTTTTGATGTGCTACATCCCCTCCAGAAAGCAGAAATGTGGTAACACTGGGGAATAAATCCACAACTAATATAGAATTATTGTGTCAAGAACATGCTGCAGATTACATTTTCGATCGAACATCATTCTTAGGAGGGGATCTTAGTTCTTGGCTTTTCCAACTAACTGGAGTTTCCCTCACATGGTAAAATAGTGAATGAACCACCTTTTCTGCTACGTATGGAAAGGCGGCACAAACAACAGAGACCTTAATTTGATGGCACATGTTTCCCCTCCAGAAAAAAGGGCTGTCTTTTCTGTGGATTAACAGGATAATGTCAACTCACCCTTTTCTACTTCATCACTTTGCATGCCAAAAGGAATTAGAGGGTCAACTGATTGGGCAGCAAAAGTCACTATCCTTGACTAAGCTTATTCTTCTCATTTGTTTATTTCATAATGTATAACCTAGTTGTCAGTTTTCATTTTCCTTTTAAAGCCTTTCCTTTGCCAATTTCCACCGCTCCAATATAAACCAGTGGGTTTAAATTTTTATTTCTGAGTTTCTCCTAATTTCATCTCACCACTGACAACCAGGGCAAACTCTGGCATTCCAGAACTTCACAACCTCTCAGCTCAAGTGGGCCCTGGAGGTGGAAAGTCTGGGCCCCCCCCCCCAAAAGCTTACTGTGTTGTACAGATCAGGCCATTGTGGGGAAAACTGAGGTTGTGGCTTGTGACAAACTCTAGTCAGTTTCACAACAAACCAACATTAGACCGCAGGTTGTACAGCTAGTTTGTTCAATTTGCCAGCCTTTGTGATAAATCACAATCCAGGTTCTCTTCTATAATGACAAGCCATGATCAGAGTAAAGGATATAGCTTGGAGCTGTTGTGCCAATCCATTCCGCACGGTCGTCAGGGAGCCCTAACTAGTTCTAACAAGCCCAGGTTTCAAATTCTTCCCAGGTGTTCACAGAAGCTCATTAATCCAGGTAGGGGAATTCCCCAGGACGGATCATTTAAGCCGAAACAAAATATCCCTCATTTTACAGTAGAGCATAACCGCAGGGCATCAGACCATGTAAACAGTATGAGTCTCTGAATGACTGGAATGCTGAGTGGAATGAAGACATGGAAAGAAAGAGCGCTTCATGCAAGCAAAACAGGGAGGGTCCTTCAAATTAAAAACATACCTTTCCACCCACGATGCATGGACCACTGCTTCAGGTTAAAGGAATGGAGGCGGCTCACTCACAAAAGCAGGTGCTGGGAGAGAGAAGGAGGCTGTTCTAAGCTTTACTCAAGGAAATGAACTTTATGAGATTCCAAAGCCTGTTTCATGGACAGCTTATCTGTCACCAGTGAGAGGCTGGGAGCCGCAAATAAGCTCCAGAGAGCTAATTTAAAAGCTATGCAGAACTGGACAGATTTAGCACATTTTTCTTCCCAACCAAATTTTTAAAAAAGAAAAAAGATTCCTCCTCCTCCCCCATCCAAGTTCTTAGTCATTCTTTTAAAAGAAAAACTAATAGGAATCTCAGCACTTGCCTGAGAAAGTCCATTTCCTGACTGTTGCAACTGAGCTCTATTTTTGGTTCTGGCTATCGGGGTGTTTAAACTGTTGCTGTTTCTCGGTTTTATATTTTGGGAACCGCTTTGAGATTTACAAATGAAAAAAAATCAAAAATAAATAAGGAAACTTTCTCACATTTCTTGCACGTAGATTTGGTATCATTGGTATTGTATTATTATTATTTCATGAAAATGTCCTTTTTGCAAAGGGGATGTTTGCATAAAGATTATTCATAAACATTGGCTAACTTTTGCCCTAAAAAAAAAAAAGGTATTCCCAGTTTAGTGGTTTCCAAAAGCTACATGATTGTCTATAGCTGTACACAGTGGTTGCATTCTCAAACTACGGTATGTTGTTGACTCCTGAGGAAGAGAATGCAGCTCCTTCCAGGGAATTTTATATTAGTGTGGGATGGCAGCTTAGCAGTGGTTTGGCTTCGCATGTTGTTCAGACCCAGGTTCCTAGTTAAGGGCTCTCCTCCCTAACCCTGATCTGCAGACCCAAGGTTTGTCCTATGGTTAAAGAGCAGAAACCTCAACCACAATAGCAGGATAGGACAGCATGCTAAGCCAAACTTTGGCTCACGCACTGCACTGACCTCCTCTGAGGAGGAGCAAAGTGGGTGCAAGTTTCTCTTCAAGATACTCCAGCTCAGCAGGAGGTGCAGACCAGATCAGCATTGGTGTATGCAGTCTGTCAAGTGAATACAGTGGTACCTCAGGTTACATACGCTTCAGGTTACAGACTCCGCTAACCCAGAAATAGTGCTTCAGGTTAAGAAATTTGCTTCAGGATGAGAACAGAAATCGTGCTCCAGTAGCGTGGCAGCAGCAGGAGACCCCATTAGCTAAAGTGGTGCTTCAGGTTAAGAACAGTTTCAGGTTAAGCATGGATCTCCGGAACGAATTAAGTACTTAACCCGAGGTCCCACTGTACGCAGTATTCTCAGACCAGGTTGGCTATCAGCATAAGCCATGCCATTTGTTTGTTTCTTTGTTGTTTGTTCTTAATTATTATTACATCTATATCCAGTGCTTTTTCCCTAGAAAAATAGGTGCCGGTACTCACCATGAAGCTGCTAGGTAAGCACCACACTTTTTAACAACACCACAAAGAGGTGCCTGTACTGCATACCCTTAAGTACCCCCTGGGGGAAGCACTGTCTAGAGCTCACTTTCTTCTGAGAAGTTCAAGGTGATGGTCTTGAGAGGCAGGTTAAGCTGAGAAACAGCCTGCTGAACCAGAGCAAGAGCTGGTGTGGTGTAGTGGTTAAGAGTATCAGACTAGGACCAGGGAGACCAGGGTTCAAATCCCCACTCAGCCATAAACTTTGCCAAGTCAATCACAGTCTCTCAGCGAGGATAAAATGGAGAGGGAAGAGAACCATACACGGCACCTTGAAGGAAAGGTGGAATATAAATGTTATAATAAATATAAAATAACAATAAGTAAATAACAAAATACTGTATTTTTCGCTCTATAAGACACACTTTTCCCCTCCTAAAAAGTAAGGGAAATGTGTGTGCGTCTTATGGAACGAATGCAGACGGGAGGCTCTGCTCAGCGCTCCCTTTAAAGAGCCAAGTGGAGCGTGTGTGCGGCTCCGGCTGGCCTTTCCCCAAGGAGGAAGAAGGGCAGCCAGTCAGTCCCTTCTCCCTCCTCGGGAAAAGCCCCCAAGAGCCACATACACACTCCGCGCACTCTTTAAAGGGAGTGCGGCTCTTGGGGGAACCTTAGCCGCATGCAGCCTCCTCCCGGGCAGGGGATGACGGCTCCCCTGGCCCGGGAGAGGCTGCGCACGGCCAAGCACGAAGCCAGGACCGCCAGCGGGATCCCGCGGGCTGTCCTGGCTTCTGGCTTAGCCATGCGAAGCCTCCGCAGGGCAGAAAAGCCCCCAAGAGCCACGTTCCCTTTAAAGAGCGCACGGCTCTTGCGGGATGTGGGGGGAAAGCCAGTAGGCTTGCTTTCGCTGAAGCCAGGAGGGCAAGGGGGATCGGTGCGCACTGATCCCACTTGCTCTCCTGGCTTCAGGGATAGCCCCGCAAAGCTTTGCGTTGCTTTCTGATTTCTTGTTTTCCTCCCCTAAAAACTAGGTGCGTCTTATGGTCCAGTGCATCTAATAGAGCGAAAAATACGGTAAGTGGATGCTGTGTGGTGGTGCCCTTGGTTCTGATTCTAATACCAAATAACATTATTTTTCACCAACCCTCTACTGCTACTACTATTAATTATAAGTATTATTAATTTGTAATAAGTAAGGCCTGTTCCTTTGGTGCAGATACCTTCTGCATAGTATGACAATGCACAGAAGGAAGCCTCTCTGAGTTCAATGAGACAGATCCCTAGGGAAGTGCATATACAATCGCTGCCTGAAGATAATTTATAGGGCTGGATTTTTCATTGCAGTGGGACATATTTGTCACAAGATGGCAGAAAAAGACTATGAATATAACAGCTCTATTTTACATAAACTGAAAAGATACCGCAGCATACTCACAGGAGCATGCAAGATAACTGCACATTTTTCAGAGGTTATTTTTAAACTTGGTCAGACTTACGGGTCAGTACACTAAAGAGAGGAAAAAAGAAAAGAAAAATCAGAAGGGCAGGAATTCATGAAATGATTTTTAAAAAAATACCTGAAAGCGTTAAGAGCCAGATTATTTCTCAGGCTAGAAGGTTGTCCAAGTACAATGTTTTGGATATGTTTCAAGTTGCACTGCATTCATTGGACAAAACCCAGCATAGACAGCAGCATGAATATGCTGATTGAAAGCAATGGGCTTGGGCACATCTAATTCTGCAATGGATCCTGGCCGCCTGGCAAGTCACTATCTCTCAGCCTCTAGTTCCTATGAAACAAACAAACAAAAGCAGCCTGACTCACAAGGTTCTGATGAGGTCAAATAAAATGAAAACGATTAATGTTCTTGGCATAGCAAAGTGGGTTGTTTTGCTCATATTCTCACTCCAGTCCTATTTATCTTAATAGTTTATACTTCCAAGTAAGGATGCCTTTGTTCTTAAGCTTCATTGTGTGCAACACAAGCGATCCAGATCCTTGGCAGACAACATAACATTATTGAATATTCTATGCCCATGATGAAATCCAAAGAGCAGCACAGGTATTTTATTCTGTTTGGAACCCCCCACTTGCCAAGAGCATCTGCAAAAGAGCCCCCCCTTGCTTTCATTTAAGCTCTTTAATACTAAAACAGGAGTCAAGTGCAAAAAGAAATTGCTTGGGATGTAAGCACTTCATGGGTTTCCTTCACTCGCAGAAAGACTGCACTTCCCATGCTGGCCCTGTGATTAATTCAAGCAGCTCGAAGATCAGCAGAAGTCCAATATTCACCCAGCAGGGACCACAGAGTTCAGGTGTGCAGTGGATGCACATCTGACACCGCTCCCAATTATGACCTCTATACTCAAAATCATTTTTCTAGAACAATTTTCTATGAAAGATGAAATGCACAGAAAACAATGGGCTCCAATATTCAATCAGTGCATTCCATTCCATTTAAGGAAACAGAATTAAATCTACAACACTGTCTAGATTTGCAAACTGTGGTCCACAGACCACCAATGGTCCATAAGCTTCATCCAAATGGTCCACATCTTATCTGATAAAGTTAATCAGAGGCTAGAAATAGCCAAGTTATAAAATTGCTATTAATGGTGGCAGTATGTTGAGACCAACATAGAGCATATTCCCCCATCATTTCATGTTCTTTTCTTATATATTATTAAGCCTGGAAAAGAGAGGATTAGCACGGAAGTTAACTTTGGGAAGTTAGAGACAACTGCAATTAAGCAGTATTTAAATTTAACTGAAAGACTTCTTTTTCTGCCTTCAAGTGAAAATTGTAATTTCTAGCAGCGTTTTCTACTAGCAAGAGCTCTCTATGACACAAGAACCAGGACTTTTAAAGTTGTCATGTTTCTCTGTTTTCATAGGAAATTCCAAGCAATGTTTATTTTTAGTGGCATTATAACATAAAGGTGCAGAAACTATGAGCACCCAGTCCCTGATAGCAGAGCTCATCCATCTCTTGCCTATGCCAGGAAGGATGCCCTATGGAAACATGTTTCAGCACATTGAGGCAAATGCCAAGAAGCCCATTGTTACCATGCAAACACGATGGCTGAAGCAAGTTGGAAGTCAGAGCCCTTCTACGCCTGTGATTTGACAGTGAGACATGGAACGCAAGGCTGAAACTGGCAAAGGATGTTGTTGAGGGTCTCACAGGAATACAGAATGCTGGGACAAAACACTCACTTAAAGAGCCAAAGACTTTTTCCAGATTCCCAGAGAGAGAGAGAGAGAAAGAGAGAGAGAAACTTTGGCTGCCAAAACTTGGGAGGGGGACACAGAGAGAGAGACAAAAGAGAGCAGAGGGAAAGAAATGTGTTTGGGATTTTATAAATAAGGCCAGCTTCATAGAACCAAATACTAAGTTTTGCAACTCAGTGTAGAAATGAAAGAATGTTCAAAATGTTTAGCTTGCTGTGGACTTTTCAACATTCTTACCGGGCTGAATTGAGTAATCTTTACTATTCAGACCCTACTGCCTCTAGGTTTCAACTTTACTTGGATAGTTCAGATTCTCTGGGGGAGTGGAAATGTTCTCAGGTCGAGTTCTGGTCATTTCTCATGCCTTTCAAATTCTCAGGCCACATTAATCTGTTCATTGCTTATCATCGTACACTCTGGCACTATTGTCCAAAGCCTCCCAGAAGCTGATTACCATTACACTAGGATTTACCACCCTCCCTAGTTATTTTGTTTCACATCAACCCCAGCC